GCCTGACTTTTGGACATTTCTTTGGTGCATTGAGAAAGAAAGCTATACAGTGGTGCCTCGCATGACGACGTTAATTCGTTCCAGCGAAATCGCTGTAGAACGAAAACGTAATGCGAAATTAAAAAGCCCATAGAAATGCATAAAACCCGATTAATGCATTCCTATGGGCTTGAAACTCACCGTCCAGCAAAGATCCTCGATAGCGTGGCCATTTTCGCTGCCTGTGCAGCGAGGAATCCGTCCCAGAAAAGAGCGGGGAGACATGTTTTTTACCTGGTGGCCATTTTGAAACCGCCGATCAGCTGGCCGAAAATCATCGCTTTGCGAGAATCTGAAGCAGGGAACCGATCATCGCAAAGCGAAATTCCCCCATAGTAAACATCGTTTTGCGATCGCTTAACCTTCAATGTCAAGCGATTTCGTCATAAAACGGAGCGCTCGTAATGCAAGGCACCACTGTATTATCCAGCAATCATACCGAGCTGCTATTTATCACAACCATCATATATATAATACACAGAACTTATAACAGAGAAAAAAGAGTTTGCTTATGTATTACAGTGATTGTGGTGCTTCCTTGATACTGCTGTATTGACCACTTTGAACTGAGCAGAAGCTTGTTTGAGCCTGCACATTAAGTGAGGTTGGAAAGGCCTACAACTTAAACTAGCTTCTGCACAAACAAAGGTTCTGCACAAACAAAGATCTGTATGCATAACGCACAGATATTGCGAAGAATATGTATAAATTTGACCTGTTGTACTGAATTGTAACAGATACTCTTGCACTAAAGTGGAACATTTGGATGTACTAAGATCCTCTCATAAGAAATAGGATGTTTTACAACTATGACTCATAAGTCAAGTCTGGATAAGCCTCAGGTGATGGGTTGCTCAAGGCTCAGAAATGTTTTTCTGGTGTCTCATTGCAAATTCTGGTTTGGGGCTATGATGTAACTCTAAACAAATGACAGTGGGATGCACGTGAATTACTTGATACTACTGAGGCAGAGATTTTAAGGAACAGGCATATCAAAATGGCCTGTAGCATCAGTGCAATTCAGATATTTTATATGGAACTTATTTCTAGCACAATTTAAAAAATTATGTTAAGGACAAAAATAATTTATTCAGCATCACATCCTCAGTGATATGCAAGACAAGAGTTACAAAGTAGCCAAGAAACCAAAACCTGACTACTAAGGCTGTGGGCTGTTGTAATTATGTAAATTACTGTGTGAGATCACAAGAAGCCCGAATTGCTGTACTGTACCTTGTTTTGTGGGAATGGTTGTGTTCTGTATGTTTTTGGAAACTATGGTGAAGAACTTGTTCTTCAGAATTTTTATACAGTGGGGTCTTGACTTAAGAACGGCTTGAGTTAAGAACTTTTTGACTTAAGAACCGCTCTCACAGGAAAATATTGACTTGACTTAAGTACTTAGATTTGAGTTAAGAACTGAAAAAAAACCACGTGGGAGGCAGGGAAAGTGCAAAATGTGAACTTTCAGTTAACTGTTGGCCAGTGAAAAGGGTGCCTGTCTGCTTCCTCACTCCTCCCAGCGTTTAGAGAGTGGATTGGGAGACAGTCTTCGGACTGCCTGGTACTGGACTGCCTGGACTGTATTTTCCCTGCCTTCCCTGAACCTTTCTTGACCTAAGAAAAAAAGAAACAAAATATCTCCCTCTAGTGGTCGAAGGCAGAATAGCAGCTTCCCATTAGTTTCTATGGACGGAAGAGAGCAGATACGGATCAAATGGTTTTCAATGCATTCCTATGGGAAATGCAGATTTGACTTGAGAACTTTTTGACTTGAGAACCGCCTTCCAATACGGATTAAGTTCTCAAGTCAAGACCCCACTGTAGTTCTTTTTACTGTGGTGAGGTTATCAACAATTTATAGAATCGTAAAGAACGATTATAATGTGTATGTGTGTGTGTGTGTGTGTGTGTTTGAGAGAGAGAGAGAGAGAGAGAGAGAGAGAGAGAGAGAAACACTAAACATTTTAAATGACCAAATCTAATCCAGTTTTCTGTATTTACCTGGATGGTTACACTGATCCCCCACCCCTTGCACAGATATGTAACTAAAGAAGTTCCTTGTTTATTATATTGGCCACACTAATGAGTTTGTTAGAAAAGGGCCTTACTGAAAGGCAAAAAATCTTTCCAAGAGCTAGCAATAATCAGGCAGGTGATAGAAATCTTAAAATCTAATTCTTTTAATTACTAGGTTGTTAGCTTATGCTTATTCATGAGATATTTGTTTAATAACTCATTGTTAAATTTTCACTTCTTTAATCAAGAAGGCAGATTTGCATGACCTCTTACACTATTACTGAGAGTCTCTTCAGTGATTTAAAGTTCCAATACAAATGTACAGCAGGTTGGCTACAGACCTAGTTGCACTTACAGCAGATGCTGGGTTCTGGGAATTAGGGATTGTTATGAGGGTGTGTGCGTGTTTTTGGTCTGGTCTCTGAGTATTCTTTGTGAATTTTGTTGTATGTGTATATGGTGTATATACATTCAATGACAATAAATTGATTCAGATTGTAGGTTTACTCTAAATATAACTAAGATTGGATCCAACAAGAAATGCCTCAGTTACTTTAGCTTAGATTCCAGTAGTATTTTCTGGCTACTTTCACCTCAGTAGAACAATTTAAGACACGCCATCAAGTTTTCCTAATTCCTTTATTGCCTCCAAGGACTAGATTTTGAGCCATTCCCTTTTTAAATATCGTTTTTCCTAGGTTTATGGAAAGTCACATGTGTTTTCTATGTTTCTGTCTTCAGATCTGTTCCTTCTCTTGAGCCAAGTTTTGTATATTGCAAAAACTATAGTAGCAATACTTTCTCAATACTTTTCTCTCTGAGCCAATCTAAGTTTGTCTCTATTTACAGTAACCAGTGTAACTGAAAGGTCAATGGTATAAACAAGTTATTTTAAGCTTGAAGAGGAGGTGCAATCCTCTAGCCAATCTGAGCACATACCCCCTGGCCTTAAATGCACCAGTGGGTCTTTAAGGTAGGTCAGGTGGCCAGTAGTTGAGACACAACAAATATCCTTCCTGAAAGAAAAGTTTTTTTGAAGAAAGATTATTTACTCTCTTGACCATCTTGTGTCCATACAACCTTTTTCTCCAGACCAAATGTATTAACAGAAAATATATAAGCCTTAGTACAGTACTTATAACAAATAACTTCCTTTCCCTGCCACCACCAATATATTCTAAACTGCCATCATACTGCTTTTCAGGTAAAGATGTGCTTTTAGATTATTTTTAGATTGTGAGGCAGATTTATTTTCCTGATGAGTTTGTTGTCAACACAGTACCTCAGTGATTGACAACATGCTTCATACATATTAGTTGTTGCAAGCCATATAGGCCACACTCTTAATTTTAGGTTGATACTTGTTTCCAGTTTGATTTAATGTTTCTTTTAGGAGAAGCCTGTGTACTCCAGCAGGGATCTAGAACCTGTTCTGGCTACCTACCACAGGCAGTAAAAACAGGATTGCTGTGGAACATCTGATAAATTAACAGTAGTTAGCTAGTTAGCTGAGCCACCTTGTTGGTTCACAAGTAGCACAGACTTACTTTAATATAAATAACGATCCCAGTGGGTTAAATGATAGTGAGAATGCCTTTTTTACTGTAAAAAAATACAACTGTATACACATAAAATACATTTTTATCCACTGGCATGTTTTCCTTGCAACTCTTGTTTCCTTTAAAATTTGAATACTGTATACTGTATAGCCGATTACTTCTAGTCATTTTTTAAAGCTTTTTCCTTCATTGGGTAAACAATCTAAGAAGTAAAGCAGGAGTGGGAAACTCATGGCCCTACAGATATTTGTTAGATCTTTGTTCCCATCACCCTAGTCTGACTAGCCAGGAATGAGATGTTTTGGGAGAGCTAGTTCATTAATATCAGGAGCCCTGTTGCATAGCCTCAGGTCCTGTATTAGGGAAGCACAAAATTCCAGTGGGAACTGGTACTTTCACCTGACCAAAAATACTAGGAAATCAATAGGACCAACCCAGTCCAAAATTGTTCTTTATAAAACTTGAAGTGGATTTGCCACAGGCTGCACTACTAAACAAAACAGAAACGGCTTGTAAAACCCCTTTTAAGGTAGGATAGGGCCATACTTTGTTTTGAAAGACAACTCCTCTGGGAAGCTTCTGGAAGTGGCAGATTTAAAAATTTGTTTGGGAGCCCCAAAAACAGGAGGAAAAAAATTAAGATGTTGCCAGTATTCACTAAAATTGATCGTAAGTTCTAAATCCTTCTTTGCTAGTACATCATAGGCATAGGCATCCTTCAGTCTCGAGAGACTATGGTAACATGCTCTGAATCGAGGAGTGTCCTCTCCAGAGCATGAAGCCCGGGTAAGGTAATATGGAGGATAGGCTGTTACCCAAGCAGCAGATCCCCCCTCTCCACATTGCTGAAATGGTCCAATGGAAAGGCAAGAGCCAATACAACTGGTTCCAGCAATGTCGCAGGAGGTGGCAGACTGACACATGCTGCCTTCGGGACTCCAGCTCCGGATTTTGCCTCGAGGTTAACTCCTGAAGCCTTTTCCATGAGTGGATATAGCCACAAGGCAGTGGAGGGTTGAAATTGGAGTTTTCCTTCTCCTAGATGGGCTGCCTTCCATGGCTGACGAGCCCCACCTACCCGGTAGTACATCATACTTACTGAAATATTTGAGAGGAAAATCTGTGGATGTGGAACTAGAAAACTAGAATAGCATAAAAGAAATCATCCACTCTTTTGTCCCCAGTATTTTGGAGGTGCATAATATCCATAAGAGCTGATATTCTGGAAGTTGGGATTTACTTGAATACAGTGTAGCATCAGTGAAGTGAACTTTGGTGTTCTTGCAAAGGATCTTTTTTTAAAAGACACATTCATTCAGAGTGATAATGCTAATTGTAAAGTACATGCACAATGTAATCTTTTCCTCCTTTTTTTCTCCCCAGGTGTCATCGTATCCAGTGTTGTCCTGGTTCTGTCCCAGCGAGCACTATTCAAATTTTACATGATCAGCTCTGCTTTCCTGTTAGGTGCAACATCAGCATTGGTGAACTACTACGCTTTTTTGCACATAAACTTCCACAGTGCCTATTACACAACTCCTTTTGGAGTTCAGCTCCTTCCCCATAAAGGACCGTCCCTCTGGATGGCACTCTGCATCCTTCAGCTTGCCTTTGGAATTGGCTACGTTGCCCTGTTAAATATTGAGTCTGTGTACTCTCAGCTAATCATCCTGGACTTGCTGATTCCAGTTATAGGTCTAATCATTGAATTACCTTTACACATCAGGCAGACATTAGTCTTTACCTCAGGCTTCATTTTGACATTATATACCCTAGTAATTTTAGCTTCCAAAATGAAACGGTTCTACTACTCTACAAGATATGTCTACCTTCTTGTAAGGCACATGTATCGCATTTATGGATTACAGTTGTTGCTAGAAGATACATGGAAAAGGATTCGTTTTCCAGCTGTATTGCGCATCTTTTGGCTAATGAGACTTGCAGTTCAAGCTGTTGTGCTAACTTACGTTGTCAAAATGGCAGAAACAGGCATGACATTCTACATGATTCCTTGGGACAATTTTTGGGAATTACTTTGCAGCCTTATTATCAGTGGCTGTGATTCGACTTTAACTGTATTAGGTATGAGTGCTGTAATTTCATCTATAGCACATTATCTGGGAATTGGTATTTTGGCCTTTATTGGATCTACTGACGAAGATGACAAGAGGCTTGGTTTTGTGGCACCAGTTTTATTTTTTATTTTGGCCCTGCAGACTGGTTTAAGTGGACTGAAGCCAGAAGAAAGACTAGTCCGCCTAAGTCGAAACATGTGCCTTTTGCTAACTGCAGTCCTGCATTTTATTCATGGAATGACAGACCCTGTCCTAATGTCTCTGAGCGCCTCTCATGTGCCCTCCTTTCGCAGACATTTCCCTGTTCTCTTAGTCTCAGCTTGCCTCTTTGTTCTTCCTATTTTCCTTAGTTACCTCCTTTGGAACCACTATGCACTAAATACTTGGCTGTTTGCTGTTACAGCATTCTGTGTGGAACTCTGCCTAAAGGTTATTGTTTCTATCACTGTGTATGTACTATTCATGATTGACGGCTACTATAATGTCCTATGGGAAAAGCTGGATGATTATGTCTATTACGTTCGATCAACAGGCAATATAATTGAATTTATATTTGGAGTAATAATGTTTGGGAATGGTGCCTACACCATGGTATTTGAATCAGGAAGCAAAATCCGAGCTTGTATGATGTGTCTACACGCCTATTTCAACATCTACCTACAAGCAAAGAATGGTTGGAAAACCTTTATAAATCGCAGGACAGCCGTTAAAAAAATCAACTCACTTCCTGAAGTTAAAGGAGAGCAACTGCGTGAAATAGATGATGTGTGTGCAATCTGTTACCACGAGTTTACTACATCTGCTCGCATAACTCCATGTAATCATTACTTCCATGCACTTTGCCTTCGGAAATGGCTCTATATTCAAGACTCATGTCCAATGTGCCATCAAAAAGTTTATATTGAGGAGAAGGAGAACACAAATATCTCAAATAACAATGGGTTTGTTGCATTTGATGAAAATGAAGCTGATGAAAATCCTATCCCAGGAGAAGCAGCTGTTGCTGAAAATGAACTAAATGAAGAGAATGACAGTACAGAGAGTGAGGAAGAGGAAGAAACTGAGAGTTCAACTCATTCTGGTATCACAGTGTCCGAACAACACTCTGACCACTGATCTGGGCTTGGACCAGTTTGAAATATCATGTACTGAACACTGTGGGTGTCTGTTAATAGTGGAGTTCAACAATGGAATAAAAGCTTCACTTCATCAGTGTATATCTAAGCACATGAACAGTATCTCAGAATGTTGAATCTGTGAATGGGTTGTTAGTTTACTGTGATATGCTACTGTAAATATACCTCTAATTACTGCTGGTCTCTTTTGTGACCACTTAAAACTTTTATGTACATTATTGTACATGGAATAAAGTGTTTTTGCATATTTTTAAAGAGTTGAGCAAAACACTCCTTAATAAAATTATAATCTCTATGTTGTGTCAAAAAGCTACCATGTTTTGGTAAAGTGAAGCCAGTGGTTTCTAGTAAATTGTGAAAATAAGTCAATGTCTCGAAGAATCACCAGTTAAATCAATGCAAATGATAATCAAAATTTAACACATCCTGTTATATAAAAACCTTGGTAAGATTTCATGCCCAACTGGACAGCTAAAAACAATATTTCAGGTTTGCACAACTCACCCTTTCTGCAACTGTTTATTTACAAAGAAGAGCAGAAGTGTGGGAATGAAGGGGACTGCTTTGCTCAGAAATTTTTTTTTTAAATGCAAGTTCTGCAATGGTGAGACAACATTGTATCCAGTTGAGTGGATCTAGATTTAGGTGCTCACAGCTAGGCTCCTGGAAGCAAAATTCCTCTTCTCTATAGTACTCCTGGAAGTGCTAGTCAGATGTCATGACCCTACTGAAGGTAAACTATCAACTAGGGAGGAGAGGCTTGTCCCCAAAATCACAAAAACACCTTCAGTGTGCAGAGCTTCTCTGTCCCTTAGGACCTTCATCCAATCTAGTACACTTAAGTTAATGACATTTCAAGATAAACTTAAAAATAAAAAAGTAATGTTATTGTAGTGTAATATGGTAGAATTTGGCTTTTTAAGATGTCTAGGTTTTTAATCTCTTTCTTGGGAGGAAAGCAATGGCAAACCTAGAAAGCATCTTAAAAAGCAGAGACATCACCTTGCCGACAAAGGTCCGCATAGTCAAAGCTATAGTTTTTCCAATAGCGATGTCTGGAAGTGAGAGCTGGACCATAAGGAAAGCTGACCGCCGAAGAATTGATGCTTTTGAATTGTGGTGCTGGAGGAGACTCTTGAGAGTCCCCTGGACTGCAGGGAGAACAAACCTATCTCCATTTTGAAGGAAATCAACCCTGAGTGTTCACTGGAAGGACAGATCCTGAAGCTGAGGCTCCAATACTTTGGCCATCTCATGAGAAGAGAAGACTCCCTGGAAAAGATCCTGATGTTGGAAAAGTGTGAGGGCAAGAGGAGAAGGGGGCAACAGAGGACGCAATGGTTGGACAGTGTCATCAAAGCTACAAACATGAATCTGACCCAACTCCGGGAGGCCGCGGAAGACAGGAGGGCCTGGCGTGCTCCAGTCCATGGGGTCACGAAGAGTTGGACACGACTGAACGACTAAACAACAACAATATGGAAAAATTACCCTTGAAACATTTCCTGAAAAAAGTTACAACTCAAATAGTTTTCTACCTATGAATGTTATGTGGTTGCGTAAGACCAACTGCAGGAGCAGTGTTACCTGTTCCCCAGGGTGTCTGTCATGTGCCTGGTTTTCAACTGGTCACACAAACGATGTGACTGGTAAAACACTCATAATTGTCCACACACACAGAATTCTGCTCTGTGGTTTTGATCATGCCACCTAATCCAGCAAGCATATTTCTAATGACTGCAGAATCAATACACAGAACTTTAATTCTTATATTTTATGAACAAAATTAATAGGTCATATTATAATACATCAACTGCTTTACATATCTGGAAAGAATACTTTAATAGTGTTGTTATACATCGTGTTGGCCAGTTCTAGTGGATCTTCTTCCCGTACGGCTGCTAGTATTTCCAGTATTTGGCTAAAATGAAACAACGATTTTAGGAAAGAGTGTGGCTTATGGAAGGCACCAGTATCACTTCATTGGTTATGTTCACAACTAATCTGAGAACCTTTGATCCTGATGATAATTAAAAACTGATTAAACAGTATTTGACTGGAACCTTACCTTCTTCATAAGAGCTGATGGTAGCTATTACATATCTACAAAACTATTGCAATAAATCTTGTAATCTGAGACACATGAAAGAAGTTACATTTGTGGCAGTAGAGACCACCAAGCCTGATCTCTACATGGAATCATTTGCAAACATTTACTGACTGTTTTCAGTTATGGTGAGGGAGCAGAAGGTGTTCACATGCCTAACCAAAATTGGGGTTTCCTATTGTGAAATTCTGAGCATGTTTACAAGAGTTCAACCTTTTTCTTAATAAGGTAATCTGACTACCACAGAATATCTAATACCACTGCATTCTAGTGTAATGATAATATTACAGACACTAAGCTTCCACATTACATAGTACAGACAGAGCCTAGTGTTGTGTCAGTTTAACCCAGTGTTGTATACTGCCATCTGAAAGTATTTTAAATGACATTCTACTTCTAAGCTGTGATCTTAAGTCAGCTCAGGTTTTGCCAGGAAATACTGAACCCAAGATACTAGTGAAGTACTGTAGTCCCCTTGTGTCTACGGATGATCTGTTCCAGGATCAACTGTGGATATGATGGAAACCATGAAAGTGAATGGGGTGAGAGTGAGAGGGGCAAAGGATCAGAGGAGGAAGGAGGTGTGTATGCATGTGCACTGTACGCTGGATTGTAGCACTGGTGACTGGATACAGGAGGATCACTATATTGGTAAAGTGTTTTACCCTGAGCCATGTTAGGCAGCATGGAGCCCATGGGCCATAAGCTACCACCCAGCACCCCAAAACAAAAGCGCTTTTTTTTCAGTTAAAAAACTTTTTAAAGCCAGTTTGAATTAGTTCTTTGGCCATGCCTCTTTTTTAGCCCTGCAAAGGTTGCCTATGCCTGCTGCAAGCTATGTTCCTTACCAATTCATTTTTGGTCAGGAAATTGTGAGTGTATACTGGATCGAAGAGGACAAGAGACCCACCCCAACAACCCTGAGGTTGAAATCTATTTTGTTAATAGCGATTTGTCTCAATTTGCCATTTATCTTTAATAGTGACTACTGTAATTTCTAATCTCTAATGTTTTTATTTTCTGTCAAGACTACTAGGCTAAAGTACTCTTCCTTATGTCAGCGTAACACCACTCTTCTATAGCAGTAAATGCTTTGGCTGCTGAGAGGGTTAGGTTAAACAAAACTAAGCTCCATTTTTAAAGAAGTGGAACATGAGTAATCCATGACCAACACAATACATTAGTAATGGACTGGAACATTTAGATATATTTAACAGCATACTCACATTATATGGCAAGGTTCATTCCTGTCTTTCAGGCAGTGTCCAAATTCCCACTTTTTTTTCGTGGGGAATGTAGTTTTTACATATTTTGAGCCGGCATGTGTATTTTTCACTCCGCACCAAGGAGCATCTAATTCAAGGAACAAATGAGAATAAATACCACTTTGGTAGTTTTGTACTTGAGCTTTCTGGAGGTTGCAATCACCATAGGTTTCAACCATCTTATTAACTAATATTAATCAAAGTACCAACTTACCTGTCTCTATCATTAATCTTTCACTGGGAATTGATTTCACTGTTTCTAAATTGGCTTCTGTTTTCAGTGAACTGGAAAAAAATGTTAAAGTGTTGCTTTAAAATATGAAAAGTGCTATGATGCATTAACTAAATACTCCATATAGGAGAAGTGAGTAACTGTGACTCTCCAGATATTCTGGGCCTACAATTCCCCCAGTGGGGAATTATGGAAGTCACAATCCAAAAATAACTGCCGGCCACTCTTATATAAGAAAGTGCAGAACTTGAAATATCAGATTTATGGATGTTGTTTCAGCAACATTTTACTTTTTAAATTAATGTTGTTTGTATGTTAAATAACTCATTTTGTGCATTCATGTCACCCCTTAGATTTTTGACAGAGGCAGGAGTGAAGGCTACCAGGTGAATGGGCAGGATGGCTCTCTTAAGTCTTTTCCCCCTAATTATTTTCCATTTAAAATGTCCCTAAAAGGAGAGATGCACAGGATTAGACCAAAGCCCTATCTGGTTAAGTATTCTGATCCTGCAGTGGCCACCCAGTTGTCTAAAACGCAGAGGCTTAACATGAATGTAGATGCACTGTTTTTGCTCCCCAGCAAGTGGTACATAGGTATACTGCCTCTTACAGTAGAGATAAAATGGCTAGTAGTGACCGATAGCCTCATTCTGCAATGACAGCAAAAAGGTAAGGAATAGCCTTATTCACACAACTATACATAGTGGTAGTTGTGCAGCTGTAGCTATGCACCTTGTTCCCACTTTTTTGTATATACATGGCTAGAGATGGGCACGAACTGCCCGTTGGGTAGTTCATCCTGGTTTGTTTACCAGCCAAACAGATGTTCAGTGCTTCCAAGCCCCCGCCTCTTCCAGTCACTGCCTCTGAGTGGGTGCCCACTAGAAGAGGTGGGGCTTGTTCAGCTGGTAAATGAACTGGAACGAACTACCAAACTGGCAGATTATGCCCATCTCTATACATGGTATCTCTAAGCCTGTGCCAGTACCTTTAGGAGTTAAATCCCAAGCCTGCAAAAACAATGTGTCTGTAATATTCCCACACTTGTCAGACTCTAGTACATGTGGGTAGGTTACACTTAACCCAGGTGAGTCCTATGTTGTGCTGGTTTTGTTTAAAGCACCCTGCCAAATTAAAATAAGGTCTTAGCCTTCGAGAATACAAAGTCTTAGCTATTATATTTTTAAATTATGCTTTTAAAATAACTTACCAACCATTTATTCCTACATAAAGATCTAACTCAATTATAGCTGCTGCCTCTTCTTTGGTCCCATCAAAAGAGTGAACCTGTGAAAAGAAATGCATCTGTTATATGACTGAGGACTTGAAATGCAAATCATCTCAGTGCTCACTGTTCATTTTTAACGTTTTACTTTCACCCAGCATTTTTTCCCGAATGCCAGCAATGTGTATACTGAAAAGTCGCAAGAAATTTTTAATGACCTATATGGGAAAATCAGAGAAAATGGAATTGGAAGGAGCCTATAAAGCCTTTGAGTCCAACCTCCCTGCTCAATGCAGGAATCCAAAGTATATCTGATAGACCATTATCTAATTTTCTGTTGAATGCCAAAATATATTGCTAAAAGCCAACAACTGTGTATGTAACAGGGCATAGCACTCTTTTGCAGCCTGATACACACTTCAGTTAAGTCAAAATACTTTCTTTAATAATAAAAGGTAACTGGGCTAGCAGCCCAACTCAAGTTACTTAAGTAAAAAAGCATGCTTCTTATATACTGTCCTATAGTGCTTAAATCTCTCCCAGGACAGTTTACAATTTTTCAGGCTAGACACTGCCCTTCCCTCACAAACTGGGTAGTCGATTTACCAACCTCAGAATGACAGAAGGCTGAGTCAACCTTGAGCCAGCTATCGGAGCCTGGGATCAAATTCAGGTTGTGAACAGAGTCTTCAATGCGCTACTGCAGTTTAACCACTGCACCATGAGGCTCCTCCACTATGCTACTCGGGTACCACACTAATCTGTTCAGGATGGCTTGTGGACCAGGACATTTAATGGGGAAGGTGCTCTCCCAACCCGTTATGAGCTTCCCTCAAATCTAGATTTACCAACTAACACTGGTGCCACTGACCACCCTGTATTTTACAGCAGTATCATGTCAGAATGATTATTCTACCTTAGGTAAAGATAAAGGTTCCCCTTGACAATTTTGTCCAGTCGTGTCTGACTCTAGGCGGCGGTGCTCATCTCCGTTTCCAACCCATAGAGCTAGCATTTGTCCACAGACAATCCTCAGTGGTCATGTGGCCAGCGTGACTAGACACAGAATGCCGTTTACCTTCCCACCAAGGTGGTACCTATTTATCTACTCGCATTTTTGCATGCTTTCGAACCGCTAGGTTGGCGGGAGCTGGGACAAGTGACAGGGGCTCACTCCGTCGCGTGGATTCGATCTTACAACTGCAGGTCTTCTGACCTTGCAGCACAGGGGCTTCAGCGGTTTAACCCACAGCGCCACCACGTCCCTTTATTTATTTATTTATTTATTTATATTTATTTATTTATTTATTTGATTTGATTTGATTTGTACCCCGCCCCTCTAGACCATGTCTACTTGGGGCGGCTATAATTCTAGCTTGGCAGGTGCAAATATTCCAGCTATCCTTAAAGTTGAAATGCTATCTGTATATTTAGGAGTAAACTCCACTAAACATAACACTGTGTTATACTCCTAATGTTGCACAGAAGAAGGTCTGAGTATCTCCTCAACAGGCAGCAAAAAGCATGCAGCAATGCCATGATGAATGCATGCCTGTAGGAAATACGCACCAATCACATTCCCACCAAGAGAAAGTCTTGCACTGAAATAAGTGCTTGATTGTTTCATGTAGTCCATTTCAAGACAGGATTTCAACTTCTAGGCAAGAGCAACAACAATTCATCTTTACATTAACATGCACGGAGGCTTAAGGAATGTGAATGGAAGGCCAGGCTTCAGAGCATGTAGGTTGCACTTTGAAAAAAGCTGAGAGGAAAAAAAACTGCCATCTAGGACAGACGGTAGATAGGCTCCCTTAGTGCTTTTGCAAAGAATTTACATATGAAAAATGAGAAGCAAAAAGAGGAACCTACACCGTATTTGTTTGCAATGTTTCGGTAACAGCAGGACTTTGTGACACAAAAGATGATGCTAAAAAGGAACATAGCTGGTATTTCTTTTGGACTTACCACACCTCCCACACACCTCTCTCTGTTTCGCCTCATTATATCTGCCAAAGGAGAATATTTTGACCTTAAAATTATGAAGACTTTTATTTTCCTATTTCTAGCATGCTTTTGATTTTCTAAAGAACCACTCACCTATAAATTGAGGATGTGAATTCCTACAGTGCAGGAACATCGGTAATTTTGTTTGTTCGGATAAGTCAAACTGTTTCTCAAAATACCTGAAAATAAATCGAAAGAAGGATTTCCATGTTTAATGGAATTGCAGCTTCTGAGCACCAAAACGGAACAGGGCGTTGGGAAGGAGTGGTTATTTGAAAAATAAAATAAAAAGAGTGTGCAGATATATTATCACTAAAATGATGCACTTTTTAAGTCCCATCATACTCTCTGGGAAGGCAAGGTGTGTACTTAACCTTTTGAAATCAACAGGACTCAAAAGTGATTCATATTGAGCAGATCATGCCCTGATTTTTTCCCCCAACCACAAACAGCTGTAGATTATATCACACTGAGACAGACAATACTGATGGGTCTGCACTCTCACCAAAAATGGTTTCTGGAAATGTTTTCCCCCTGCAAAGCAGAAAGTGATGGGAAAGTTAAAAGTGAAACCATGACTATGTGTGGTGTGCCACCTTCTATAAAACTTGCTGCTCCTATGCCACAATTCAAATGTATCGTTACTGCTTCTGTATTATAAAGAACCTGAGATACTGCTGTATTTGGAAGGCTTATTTCAGATATTATAGGTACTGTACTACTTTGGAAACTTCTGGAAGGACCTGAATCTACAGCTATGCGGACAGCCTGGATAACATGGAGAGCTTCCATGTTAGAATGGCACATTTATAAGTCGCTCTTCATGCAATAGAGTATGATTTTTTTTATAAGAAAGCTGTTTTCAAGTACAACAGGAATTATGTGGAAGCATTTTGAGTGACCTACATGTGCTGCTGCTTAACAGTTAAAAGTTAGATAGAGCTGCTCCATATCATTACCTCCCATCGTTTGAAACCTTTAAACTGGCATACCCACTAAATAGTAAATTATTTAAAAAAATCTAGGGAATTTGATGACTGGTATACTAAATATTCTGATGTTGCCAAAAATGCACTGTTGTTTCCACATTATCTTTCTACAGAAAGTTGTGTTTGCACATTGTGCTGTCTAAATGCTGAGGGTGAACATTACACAACTGTAGTTTATCTTTCAGGTTTGAAAGGTTCCTAATTAACCAACTGTGCCCCTATGACTGGTGCTGAAGAGCATAAATATGCACATGGTTATCAATTTGAACTGTTTTCTGATGTGATGTCAAATATAAATACTTGGACAGTTAAATATATTTTTGAATGATTTTAGATGCAACCACTAAATGGAGTGTTCTAGTTCAAAGGCATTATGCACCTTGGCAAACAGGTGCTGGGAGCAAGTAAGAGGTGGCTATATTATACTTGGGCTACTGCAAACTGGACATCCTAACCAAGCAAGTTGGTCCTCATGTTCTTAATGTTATGACAACACTGTATACATAACTGAAAACAACCTTGTGTGGCAGAAGTATTTCATTTTATATTTCTTGACTTTAGTTCTTGTATCATCCTTCCCGTGTATCTAGGATTTTCCTTAGCTGACCTGTTCTCAAGTAAAGATACTCATGACAGTAACCAGTGCTTTGCATATTCTGTAAAAGTAACATTAAGAAAAATCTTTAAAACAGTGGAATAATTTCTTAAATGGTAGACCAAAATGGTTCCATCAATGGTAGGTTGAGAATTTTGTTTTAATCTTTGTAAAGAATCATATAAACATAACTGTCCAAAAAAAGTATCTCAAGAATTCAAAATCTTGACAGCAAGGAAAAATGAGGAGTAGATGATGGGCAAAGTGACAGACTTAGACAATCTGGCGGAGACAGTGGGTCTCTTGTGACTTACACCTTTTCAAATTTCCTTGTAATCCATTTTGTCCATGTGAGCCATGGGACAGAAGGAAGAAGTCTCTATATACTGAAAATCTCCCACGGCTGGTCATCTGGCAGTGGCAATTTTCAGTAATCAGGTATTTCCTTCTACGTGACCCCCACAAGAGATTACAGAGGATTAGGAAAATCCATGGGACACAAGTAGGAAATTTTTAATTACCAAAAACTGTCCCTTCCTGGTTATGTCATTCACTCTTCTGCATGTGTAAGTGAATGCGGCAAGTTTTCAGGCAATGGGACTAATTCCTGTTAGGACAAAAAAGTTGGATTTAGCCCTTTAAATGCTAAAATGCAGGGATGTTGGTATGACTTTGGACTTGAGTCTGAGTCTTTGGTACCAAGTCCCAGGCCTTGAGTCAGAGTTACAAGTCTCGGGCAGAGGCTGGGAGGTGACATGTGCATGTGCCTGGCTTCCCTTGCCCAGAGCAGGCTCTTGCCTCTGTGCATGTTTAGAAATAGTGGGCCTGGTTCCTGCCCTCCTGCTGCTGCCATGCCCCCCCAACTGCCACCCCCCCAATGCCTACCTGCCACCGCCCCCCACTACTTCCCTAACACACACCTACCTGCTGCTGCCATACACCACTGTCCTCGGAGGCAAGCTGCAGGATCGACTTCCCTTCCAAGAGCAAGACCTGCTGCTTCTGGTAATGCTTAGAAGTCTGAGCATGCCCAGAAGTGGCAGGCTTGATCCTGGAAGGGAAATAAGGCCTGCAGCTTGCCCTGTGCCCTGTAGCAGCGGCAGGAGCAGGAAGGTGTGGGAGGAGCGGTGGTGGGACTTGACAAGCAATTTGGAAAAATGGTGCCGAGTCACAAGTCAAGTGCGAGTTGTCGGGGGGGGGGGAACCCAAGTCGAGTCCAAGTCAAGTTGGTGATGAAACATTAGTGCAACTTCTCTGATATGGTCATTAAACATCTCTTACTTGAGTTGGGTGTCTTTAGGGCAGAATTCTAATCTGTCAAAATCTGAAAGAAGAAATGTACAGTTAATTGGTGTTCAAAACAGTGCCATGAAAAGACAGCTTTAGTAACCTGGTTGTTTAATACTTACCCAGGCCACACTCCCCAATTGCTATGGCTTTCCCTTTATTCTTCTCCACTAGATCTTGTAACTCTGATAAGTACTGCTCTGGGTTCTCCTGCTCAAACTCACCACATCGTGTGGGATGGCAACCAACAGTACTGAAAAACATGTCTAAAAACAAGGGACACAAACATTTAATTATTATGGCTGAAATCCATAAGTATGAACTTAACAGGTTCCCATTCGTTCAAGTTTGGATAAAAAAACTGGATCAAGCCTAATGCTATAGCACTCTCAACATGCATGGTGCACTAAAGTATTAGCAAAAGACAGTCCCCTGCAAATGGGGGCTAGAACCCAAAACTCTGATGTTGGGGGAAAACAACAGTGACACTAATCTCTGGTTTACCCCTGAATTTTTAGTTCATTGTTTGCATTACTCATTCCTGTGTAGTGCTTTCTGTCCTCCCCTCGGAAACAAGCTGGTATTCTCACTGTACAAATGGAGAAGTGAGGCTGAGAGTGCATGACAGATCCATCCCAATGTCACTCCTTATCACAGTGTACACTCAAATTCAGATCCAATTTCTTTGCTCTTCACTAGAGACCACAGCAACTTTATATTACCAACCAGGTGGGCAAGCAGCGAAATAATGACGCATGAAGATTTATGATCAAAGAGGACTGGGAAAGCGTATCCAACTGATCCTAATACATAGTCTTTATCAATGGAGCAATCATACACTATCTAACCTTACATTACAACAACCATTTAACACATTACACTGCTAGGCATACATTTTAGATTTTTGTCTATACTTTAAAATATCAAGTGTGAATCCAAAACATGCACATGTACATATATACGAAGGAACATATTGATATCTTTGCCAGGTCTTGGATTGGCTGTGGTCCCTGCTGGGTATAACAGCTGTCACAAACTCAGGTTGCTGTTGTGTAATGTATGAAGTAGCCTAGTTCCAGATGAAATCTAGCATGTTTAATTTAATGGAAGCTTCTGCTTCCAATTATGTTAACAGTTAAGCCCAGCAAAAAAAGTGTCAATTCAGGTTCAGTGATCGCTTCAGTATCACCAGATGCATGACATGGAAGAGTGACTTCTGCTCATGGAAGGGCTGCTTAGCACTTTATACTCAGACTTTTTACTCCTGCAAGAATCTGTGCACAAGAACACAAGACATACAGTCTTCCCCTACCACTTGCAGTTTGTAGAAGAGTTCTTTTGATTATTTTCTTTCTGTTCATGATTCTTTGGATTGAACCTATGGATTCAATTGACACGTATACTAATTCTTGTTACTGAGAAAAACAGGATAGAGAACACATTCCATTAAAATCTCTATGTCACAAGACAAATACCATTTGTTTTTGCCAGTTGTAGTGCATCTTTACTATCTTGCAAACTTCCACCTGTGATCATGAACTGAAATAAAGAAAAAAAAATTACCATAAACACGAGTTTCTATATGTCAGAACTGATCTATATCCCCAGTAAATCTTGTATTAAAGAAACAACAGAAACAATTAAAATGTAAGATAGCAAAATGGAGATCACTTTTCTCTCTTTGTCAAAAGAAAATTTTACCTTTTTAACACCAATTTTGATTGCCCTGTCCATTACATCCAAGAAGTCATCTGTAAGAAACAGACAGACATATTTTTAAACCATTATAGCCTCATTTAATTCTGGCCCCTTATCAATTTCAGAAATATAGCACTTCCTACAGTTCTTCCCATTTTTTTGCCCATAACTTTACAGCAACAGTAGTGGCAACTATCGTGTGTCAATTCTATAATACAGCATGGATCTCCAGGAAGAAATATAGCTCCAGTTCTCACAGGACCGTGTCTACCAGTGGTCTCTCATTCAAGTGAACTAAGATTGTAATTCTTTTCCTTGATGAATGCATGCACAGCAAGAACATTTAACATGTACAGTGGGGTCTCGACTTACGAACGGCTCGACATACGAACGTTTCGACTTACGAACCGCTCTCATAGGAATATATGGACTCGACTTACGAACTTAGATTCGAGTTACGAACTCTTTTTTTCCCTTTTTTAAAAAGCTAAGTCATCTTAGGTTAAAAGGAAAAAAGAAAAAATATCCCCCTCTAGTGGCAGAAGGCGGAATAGCAGCTTCCCATTAGTTTCTATGGACGAAAAGAGCAGATAAGGATTAAATGGTTTTCAATGCATTCCTATGGGAAATGTAGATTCGACTTAAGAACTTTTCGACCTGAGAACTGCCTTCCAATACGGATTAAGTTCGTAAGTCGAGACCCCACTGTATACGGAACTATGTCTGCATACACATTTCAACTCCTCGAGGCAATCATTACTGCACCATTAGACTTTGCATTTATTTCACATACTGAAATATTTTCTGCTAGCAGATCTGACAAAGCTTAAATCTTACTATGAAATAACAAACATGTTTACTCAGAAATTGGTTTCACTGGCCAAAATCCTGTTATTTACTATAGTGAAGCACATTAAAGTAAAGGTAAAGGTAAAGGTTCCCCTTGACAATTTTTGTCCAGTTGTGTTCCACTCTAGGGGGCGGTGCTCATCCCCGTTTCCAAGCCATAGAGCCAGCGTTTGTCCGAAGACAATCTTCCGTGGTCACATGGCCAGTGCGACTTAGACATGGAACGCTGTTACCTTCCCACTGAAGTGGTCCCTATTTATCTAGTCACATATTTGCATGCTTTCGAACCGCTAGGTTGGCGGGAGCTGGGACAAGCGACGGGAGCTCACTCCGTCGTGTGGATTCGATCTTATGACTGCTTCGTCTTCTGACCCTGCAGCACAGGCTTCTGCAGTTTAGCCCGCAGCGCCACCACTTCCCTTTTACATTAAAGTAGCCCCATTAAATCAACAGGGATTTTATGAGTCTCCCGCAAGTTCCACTGATTCAAACAGGGCTATTCTAACTGCAACTTACCTTAGCATAGTAAGTTGTAGCTATTAGGCCAGTTTGAATCAATGGAACATATGAAGGAACTGACTTACTAAATCCCCATTGATTCAATTCTAGTGCACTTTAGGGGACGTGGTGGCACTGCAGGTTAAACCGCAAAACCTCTGAGCTGTAAGGTCGAAAGACCAGCAGTGAGAATCCACACGGTGGAGTGAGCTCCTGTTGCTTGTCCCAGCTCCTGCCAACCTAGCAGTTCGAAAGTACGTAAATGCGAGTAGATAAATAGGTAGCACCACGATGGGAAGGTAACAGTGTTTTGTGTCTAGTTGCGCTGGCCATGTGACCATGATAACTGTCTACGGACAAACACTGGCTCTATGGCTTGGAAATGGGGATGAGCACTGCCCCCTAGAGCTGGACACGACTGGACTAAATGTCAAGGGGAACCTTTACCTAGTGCACTTCAGTGCACTTCACTATGCTAAGCAACAAGAATTTGGTCATTGACTCTAATGAAACTTATTCCAGAGTATGTGTCCACATAATTACAGACTACCAAAACAACTGTATGTATATTTATTTGTTTAATTTGCATCCTGCTTATCCTCCAGTGCAATTTATCATATTAAAACAAAATCAGATAGATTATCATATTAAAAATAAGCACTAAATTAAAATAATTTAAAGATAATTTAAAAGCAAAAACAAAACAGTGTAAAACACTCCCCATTAAAACACCTCTCTCCAGTCCATGGCCACCTGCCCCAGTTTAAATCAAAGGTCATTGCTTGCCAATTGAAGGACAACAGGGAGGAGAGCACCCTAGCCTCCCTCCTTAAAAGGGACTTCCAAAGTATGGGAGCAACCACTGAGAAGACATTTTCTAGTGTCCTCTGTGTACATGCCTCTAAGGATGGTATAGCCAAGAGTAGAGCTTCTTCCTGAAAATCTCAAGACCTGGCCAACCTCATATGATAGTAAGGCTTTATGGGTCATAACCAACGTTTTATGAACTCTGCCCAGAAATGGAATGACAGACAATGAAATTGTTGTATCAAGATATTTTGATTCTGGCTCAGCTCAGCAATCTATCCATTCCATTTTGGACTTGTTTTAAGTTTTCAAAGGGCAGCCCTCCACAAAATGACATGTGACTGTGGTATGTGTCACTGTGGCCAGATTAGAAATCTCTAGGAATGGATGTAGCTCTTATGTTAGTTTTAACTATGCAGAAGCACTGCTGACCACAGAGGACTTCTGGGCATCCAATCCAGGACCAATCCAGGAATACACCAAAGATGCACATCTGAATTTTCACATTAAGAGTTCATCCATCCAGCAAAAGCTGAATCTCTAGTCTCTGATCTGCCTTACAGCTAACTGGGAGCGCCTTTGTCTGGTCTTGATTAATCTTCAAATCAATAATAATACTAGATAGATAAAGGTAAAGGTTCCCCTTGACAATTAAGTCCAGCCGTGTCTGACTCGGGGCCTGGTGCTCATTTCCATTTATTTATTTATTTATTTATTTATTTATTTATTTATTTATTTATTTATTTATTTATTTATTTATTTATTTATTTATTTTTATTCATTCATTCATTCATTCATTCATTCATTCATTCATTCATTCATTCTATTTATACCCCGCCTATCTAGTCATTGCGACCACTCTTGTAAGCCGAAGAGCTGGTGTTTGTCCGTAGTCACTGTCTGTGGTTACGTGGCAGCATGACTAGACATGGAACACCGTTACTTTCCCACCAAGGTGGTACCTGTTCATCCACCTGCATTTGCATGCTTTTGAACTGCTAGGTTGGCAGGAGCTGGGACAAGCAACAGGAGCTCATCTAGTTGTCCGGATTCAAAATGCTAACCTTCCGATTGACAAGCACAGTGATCCAGTGGTTTAACCCACAGCACCACCTGCATCGCTTTAATACAGCATATAGCATACAGCATACTTACTCAGAAATAGGTCCCATATACTTTGTGAGACTTACTCCCTAGTATAGGATTGTAGCCCAAGAATGAGATCCTACTAAGTTCAGTGGTAAGTACTCCCAAGTGAACTATATATAGAATTGAGTTCTTTGCCTTTGCTTCTTAAGATGCATTGAAAAGACAACACATGTCTTTTAAATGCATTTTTAAAAGAAAATATTGGGAGCCCGAGAATAGGTAGTAGAATACATTTTATAAATATTTATAGCTATTTGTTGTGATATACTCTATATATAGGTGAACAGGATAACAGAAGAGGCCCCAAAAGAAGGAAAGGAAGTTTACCTTGATGCTTTTGAGTACCTCTGTATATGCCTCTGAACACCGGATCAGTTAGGTTAATACCAATATCTAGAGAGAGAAAGACAGCAATCAGTAACCTCAGCTTGTGGTGTATGGATGTGTGTATACAGTTTCAATTAAGTTGGACAGAATATCGTCTATAGCACTGATTTCAGCGCCCTTCCAAATTCAAGTGCTCACTGTAAGATACATACAGCATGTTATCTATGTAAAATTGGTTTGTCTAATAAAGGACTGCTTAAGAACATAAAAAGAGCCCTGCTGGATCTGACCAAGTATCACTATAGAAAGGGGATAGGTAGATGGAGGCACATTAGCCAAATCTGACCCCCAAAGACTAGAACCAAGAATTAGCCGCCAATCCACATTATGATGTTGCTCAGCTTCCAAGTACTGTAGAAGTCTTTGCTCTTCCCTAATGCATCAAAGTAATTAATGTCATATGCAAGCCAAAACATAGTTGAATACAGGGAGGGGTAAAGTTTCAGGGCATGGGATGGCAAAGTAGTCCACATAATGTTTGTTTACAATTGTAATACAAAAACTTGTAAAATTTAAATTAAATTGAAAGACACAAGTGAACAGTAACAAGCAGTTGTGGTGACCAAGGCTGAAATCCTGAACACATTTACTAAATAATAAATCCTACTGAACATCATCTTATTTACTTTTGAGCAAAACTACTTAGGATAGTTCTTTTGAACTCTCACGTGCTGCTCACACAGGGAGGGCAGTCAAAGACCTTTCACCTATCTATAAATCTGTATTAATGGAGATCGTGGCCAAGATCATCCTTACTACAGTACTTCCAATTGTGTTGTTACATGCTGTCAAGTCAGAACTGGCTTATGGTGACCATAATAGGGTTTTCAAGGTAATAAGGTATTTAAAGAATGGTTTTACCAGTTCCAATCTGCCCCCTCCCAAGTGATTTTCCACAGGAGAGCTAGGTAATTGAACCCAGGTCTTCTGAATCCTAGTCCATTAATCTATCCACTACACAACACTGGGTACTCACTTCCAATTACTACGTAGGAATATGAAAGCTCAAGCTGGGGGGTAGCAGGGAACAGATTCATTTGAAGTCTGATGTTGGAGAGGAAAGACTGAACATGAGATATACTGGTTCAATAAAGAAAACCACAGGCAAGAATTAAGAAGGACTGTTACTGATAGGACCTTTTGCTGATCAGGAATTCATAGGGTCACCAAAAGTCAGAAATGATGGCACATAATAATGGAACAGTATGGGACTAAATGGGGGTGGATTATCTTCTAGCCCTCATTCAGCTCAAAATACAGAATCTATTTTTTTTTTTTGAAAAAACAGTTACTGACCACAGATCTAGATCAAATTCATTATTAATGGCATCTACCACCTTGCTGATTTTTTAACATGGAAAGGGGGGGAACCCCTACAGAATACAGTAGATAGATACCTTGCATTGCCCAGAGAGAATCTGCCATGAATTTTGTCTACCATTTTTCTACATCATCCATGCAGTCTAACCTACTTAACAAAAGAAAGACTGGAAACATCTAATGGAACCTAACATGAATGGAGAGATGGGAGTCTTGAGATGCAAAAGAAAAAAGTTTTATGTGTTAGAAAAACCCCAACTAGCAAATTACAGAAAGCAAGATGACTACAGTTAGGCTATGATATATTTTATATGTATTAACTGGACCCCTTCAGTTTGTAATTGTATATTGTCTCTTTCTGCCTTTATAGCCCCTGAATAAGGCTGCAAAATGAGTATTTGATAAAATATATCATAGCCTAACTGTAGTCATCTTGCTTTCTGTAATTTGCTTTGCTATATGAATGTGTAAACCTATTACATCAGGGTTTCTGCTTAGCAGACAAGAATAGACAAAGGAGGGAGGCTGCCTGAATTACTTTTACTTGCAACTGAACTAGTCTAATTGGGAATGTGTCCTTGGTTAGTGATAAGAGACCTGGGAATCTCAGAACCAGGAGGGATGGGCTCAAAAACATCTGCAAAAACCTCCTTTCCTCCTCCTTCTCCCCACCCCTTGCCTCCCTCCTTCTCGTTTAAACTTATAAAAGTATATTCTATAAGAAGCCTGTGTGCTTCTTCTCTGCATGTTTTCTGCGTGTGAAGTTTGCATCTATTTGCTTGCTTTCAGCTGAAAATAAACAAATATCTATGGGATCTCTCTCTCTCTATCTGATTGATTAACACACTGGAGACAGCAAACAAACTAACAAACAAAAACCAGAAGATAGAGTTCTGGCTCCCTTCAAAACAATACTTATAAAATATCAAAATTAAAACATTTCAACAGCAACGATTCTCAGCTTGATTAATATAGTATACAGTATTAGTAAAACAGCAGCACCTATGCTGATATTTGGTGACCTATTTCCATATTTAAGAAATATAATTGTATGCGTCAAACAGATTTTCGTTTATGGCAGGCCTTTCCAGTGACTTCACGGTAGACAATACTCAGAAAATTGTTTCCCATGCCCTTCTTCCGGGCCAGTACTGGGACTGCCCGGCTTGCCCAAAGCCACACAGGCTGGCTTTTCTGAGATGCACTCTGTGTGTGTGTGTGGGGGGGGATCAGAATCCCAATTTATGGCTCCTCAACTTACAGAAGCAACTTGTAATATAAGAGAAAGATACAGGATTCTCGTGACTCCCAATTTATGGGCTCCTCAACTTACAGAGCCAACGAGGCAACTTGTAATATAAGAGAAATATACAGGATTCTCGAGTGACAGGAGTGCAATGGCTGTGTTATTGCAACCTCCTAGCAACGACCAGCCACTGCAGCCTCCTATTCGTTGGCCTTACTTCCGAGGAAGCAGACTCAGGCATCAGGATAGCAGAGTTTGCTAAGCACAAATGTACCCAGAATTTAACCCTAATAAAGCCAACATGTCTTTCTTCCAAGTAAACCCATTCAGGGGAACGCCTTGCGGTGCAACGGGTTATGGTACATCAAACCAGGCAGCTCCCCCATCAGCTACAGCGTCCGAAGCCAAGGCCCAAACTTTGCCCGGATTGGGCCCAGGGGCCCATCTCCCCAGGCGCCTAAACCCACCCGCATCCCTCGGTTGCCCGGCAACCGTCCTCACCAATAAACTTGAAGCGGCTCATGACGACGGCGGCCCAGGCCCTCGCGCGTACGTTCCCCTCTCCACTTCCTCCCTCGACCTAGAGACGGGGAGCCAAAGGAAAGGGTGGGTGCAGCTAATACTTCCGGTTTCTGTGCCCGCAGGCGGCGTTGCTGGAGAAGGGGCCGCTCTGTCCTGCGTCTTGAACATCTATCGTCATAAAAGCAAAAGGCGGGGCTCCAGTTTTATCCTCACGACTACTCTGCGGGGGGGGGTGGATTTGGAATTATCTAGATACTTGAATCTAGTTCAACTAAATCTAAATCTGACGCTCTAACTAAAAATGTTATACTTTCTACAGAATGTAGTTCTGGTTTTCCCTATGATATGTGCTGTCTACAGATTGAACAGATAAGGGGGGGGGCGGCCCTAATTACGATGCGACGCAGAGAGAATTGGAGTTTTCAAAGAAAAACAATCACATTGGGTGGGAACTGGTGGGAAAAACATCAAGATTTTTTTTATTCAACTGTTAGCTCAAATGAAGATTGCAGAGAACAGAAGAAGACTGAGTCTTGAAAAGCCCACTATGGAGGAACAAGAAGATATCCTTAAGAGCAAGGATGTATCACTGGAAACATAAGGCCAAGATAATCCATACAACTGTTATACTGTATATAGATATGAAAGCTGGATAGTGAAGAAAGCTGACTGGAAAAACAAGGATGAGCTACATCGGGAACTAGACAGGTGGAGGGTGTCCCTGTTGGTTCTGCTGGAACTCTCAGTGGCTTTCGATACCATTGACCATGGTATCCTTCTGGGCCGTCTCTCTGGGATGGGACTAGGAGGCACCGTTATAGAGTGGCTCCAGTCCTTCCTGGAGGGGAGAACCCAGTGGGTGGTGCTGGGGGACTCTTGTTTGACACCTTGGTCTTTGGTGTGTTGTGTTCCTCAGGGATCTGTTTTGTCTCCTGTGCTATTTAACATCTACATGAAACCGCTGGCAGAGGTCGTCCAGAGTTTTGGGGTTCAATGTCACCACCATGCTGATGACGTAAGGGACGTGGTGACGCTGTGGGTTAAACCACAGAAGCCTCTGTGCTGTAAGGTCTGTAGATCTTCAGCTGTAAGATCAAATCCAAGGGGCAGAGTGAACACCCATCTCTTGTCCCAGCTCCTGCCAACCTAGCACTTCGAAAGCATGCAAATACAAGTAGATAAATAGGGACCACCTTGGTGGGAAGGTAACAGCGTTCCGTGTCTTAAGTCGCACTGGCCTTGTGACACAGGCTCTATAGACCTGGATCTTGGTTTATGCCATCAGCTTCTTATTGAGCCAACCCTCTTTGTGAGTCTTGAGCACATGGTAGCTGCTTTGCCAATGCGTTTATCCAGCTTGACATCTAGGGAGAGAGTGTCAGAGATCACTAAAACAATTCATGAGTTGTTGGAGATCTTCAGCAGAGTGGGCAACAATGGCTGCATCATCGGCGAAGAGGCAGTCCCGCATGTATTTCAGTTGGACTTTGGTCCTTGTTCTCAATCTAGAGAGATTAAAGAGCTTTCCATCTGTTCTAGTCCGGAGATAGACACCTTCAGTTGCAGTTCCAAAGGTGGGCTTCAGCATGACAGCAAAAAAGATCCCAAACAGGGTCAGCGTAAGGAGACAGCCCTGTGCTTTGGATGTCAAATGGATCTAATGTTGAGCCATCAAAAACTACAGTGCCCTTCCTTCTCCTAGATGGGCTGCCTTACAAGGCTGCTGAGCCCCACCTACCCAGCCTGCTTCCTAATAGTGCAGAGGTAGGGGCCAGCTGTCAGTATCATACCAAAGTCTTGGTTACTGGGGTGGATCCTTCTCCAGCACTGAACTGCTGTTGAGTTTCCTATAGTGTTGCTCACAATGGGAAAAGAAGGGTAAACAGACAGGCCATTTCTGGTGATGGTTCTATACATCTTGGAATGCTCCATTAACAAATCCCAAAACACTGATGTTTCAACCAGAAAGCTTATGGGCTGAGGATCACAATCAAAATACTGAAGGTTTAAAGAGAACCAAACTTCATTCCCCACCCTAATCCCTTCCATTCCCAGAGTCTCGTGCAAAAGCATCAGAGAAGTTGCTGGACAACCATCATGTGGCCTGGAGAACCTCCCACCGTTGCCCGGGTATATCCGACTGGCATATGTTGGTCACTAGTCTGCTAGACTGGCTTTCTAAGCACAAGCCGCTGACAAAGTGCTGGATGAAGCTGCCTTTCATCTTCGATTTCTGATGATGGTGTCATGCCTCCAATTTCATATCTTCTTCAGAGTCGTTGTAACTTGTGGTCACTGGCGATTTCCGTGGAGCAGTACAAAAGCAACTGCAACATAAGGCTGGTCCTAACTGCCTAAACTACTTCTCTCTAACTGACATCCCTAACTCATCCCTAACTGATACTGTACTTAACTCTAACTGATCTTTAACTGTCTTCCATTCTTCTTATAGTTCCTTAGTCCCACCTCTTCTGTTCACCCATTGGTTGATATATCAGGGTTCTATTGTGATGGACAGGAGTGGTTACTGACCTGTCCGCCACAAGGACTAAAAATAAAATGCTGGAGATGCTTTGGATTTCAACGTGCAGAATGACAGAGATGGTTCTCTAACACTTCAATAGCTCTATGAGCAGAAGAACCAGGAGGAGGCGAGTGGAAAAAGGAAGAGTGACACCACGCCGTCCTTTTTAATAGGCTCTTCCCGGTCTGTGAACGCAATGTTTTTGCCACCCAGCGATCACAGATAGGCAGAAAACGAAATAGAAATAAAAGAGGGGGAAAACGGAGTGGCACGTTGAAGGCGAACGGTTCGACGGTGCATTGATATCAGGAACGATGACAACCAGCGAGAATAGCGGAGGGGGGGCTACTCTACTTCTTTCTAGCTCTACATCGGGGCGAGCCACCGCCCGCCCTGGACTCCCATCATGCCTTGCGGCAAAGGGGTTGGCTTCCGCCGCCGCTGCCGCCGCGTCGCCCTTCCTTCCTGTGAAGGGGAAAGGGAGGCCCAGCCAAGATGTCCGCCTTCTTGACTCACCAGCAGAAAGTGCTGCGGCTCTACAAGCGAGCCGTGCGGCACCTCGAGGCCTGGTGCATCCATCGGTGAGAGACAGGCAGCCCCAACGCTTAAGCTGAGGTCTCTCTCTCTTCCCCCCTCCCGGCCCTATTTTATTGTCACAACAACCTTGGGAGGTAGTCTTGTTGGGAGGGGGCGGGGGAAGAGCCTTCCTAGCTCTGAGGGAGTCTGATCTTCGGGACTTTTATCGGACACTTAAAAAGAGAATGGGTTTTTCTTCTCAATGATTTTCTTTTAAAAAAACGATTTAATTTTTTTAAAAATCCATTTTTTAAAATCGTCAATTCAGTCGTCAAAAATCCGATTTTTAAAAACCATTTAAACCCTCATTTAAATTGATTTGGTTTAAATCACACACACCCCAGCTTATGTTAAAGGTGGACCTGCCAGTAGCTTTTTAATGGTGGACTTTCTGCACTGCGGAATCACATAATTCTCTATTATATAGTCGCTTGTTTTTGACCTTGCAGTGTTTTACCTTCTTGTGTTTCTGGTAGTAAGAACTGCTTGCTGTTGCTTTCTCCTGAGAGTTGTCCTTGCGCCCACATTTGTTGGTGACATAAAGTGGTATTTATTGGGCGTCCTGAGGTCATTTAAGTGGGGTTCAGTTTTTTCTCTCTCCAAGGCTGGGCTCAGGATTTAACAAAGGCTCATGGCTCTGAAGATGCCGGCCACAGAGACTGGAGAAACGTTAGGAAGAACAACCTTCAGAACACGGCCAAAGAGCCCGAAAAACCCACAACCACCAGCTCATGGCTTGGTTTGACCTTTGTCTCACCTTTGTTTCTATATTAATTACTGCTTAGCCTCTTGATTGCTCAGGCATGCCCATGGACACCGCATATGATATAGTTGATAGAGTGACAGACCGAGACCCTATCAACTATATCATACTGACTTGCATTCAAGTCTTGGCTCAGTCATGGAAACTTGAAGGGCAGAACTAATAAAATCCTTCCTGAAATAGTTGTTTCCAGCTTACAGCACATAACATGCCCCCCATGTAGTTTAGAAATAAATAAGTAAGCAGTAAAACAGCCAAGTGTGTGGATGATACTCTGCTCAGTGTGTTGAAGGCCCATGTGAGCTGCAGATAGTTTCCAAAGGATCTCTCCAAGCTGGACAACAGTCTTATTTGCATGAATTTGCCACATGGGAGAATAAGCAGATGTAAAGCTGTCTGATTCCACACAAACACACACCTGCTCATATTTGATATGCTTAATGTTACATACACATTTGAGTACTAGCCATGGTTAGCTCCACCTTGAGTTTTCCTGTCGAACCATCACCTTGTACTCTAATTTTTAACTGGTGGTGATTACTATGCAGTTTAAAACACTGTATATACAAACATGAATTGTGATTAGCTTTGAAGGAAAGAGACTTTATGCATGAGAAAGGAGGAAGCGGGGGGGAAGTATAAGTTTTATGGTTGCTCCCTGTCTTCCCTCTGTGACTGGGAATTCACCAAAGAATGATTTCTTCATGAGGCATATATGGAATCTGTAATTTCACTGATTACTTAATACCGATTTATTCTCAGGGACAAATTTCGGTACCATGCCTGCCTGCTGAGAGCACGGTTTGACGAACATAAAAATGAGAAAGATATGGTGAAAGCAACTCAGTTGCTGATGGCAGGTGAAGTAGAATTTTGGGACTCCCAGCATCCTGAGCCTTTAACCTTTCCTACTGCTCCCGGAGGTGTAGCTTTTGAGAGAAGTGATACCTACAAGGTTAGTACATCACTACTGGGAAAACCATAGCTTTGACTATGCGGACCTTTGTTGGCAAGGTGAGGTCTCTGCTTTTTAAGTTGCTCTCTAGGTTTATCATCGCTTTCCTCCCAAGAAGCAGGCGTCTTTTAATTTTGGGGCTGCTGTCACCATCTACAGTGATCATGGAGCCCAGGAAAGTAAAATCTGTCACTGCCTCCATATCTTCCCCTTCTATTTGCCAGGAAGTGATGGAACCAATGGTCATGATCTTAGTTTTTTTGATGCAGAGCTTCAGACCATTTTTTGCGCTCTCCTCTTTCACCCTCCTTAAGAGGTTCTTTAATTCCTCCTCACTTTCTGCGATCAGAGTGGTATCATCTGCATATCTGAGGTTGTTGATATTTCTTCCGGCAATCTTAATTCCGGCTTGGGATTCATCCAGTCTGGACTTTCGCATGATGTATTCTGCATATAAGTTAAATAAGCACGGAGACAATATACAGCCTTGTCGTACTCCTTTCCCAATTTTGAACTAATCAGTTGTTCCATATCCAGTTCTAGCTGTTGCTTCCTGTCCCACGTATAGATTTCTCAGGAGATAGATAAGGTGGTCAGGCACTCCCATTTCTTTAAGGATTTTCCATACTTGTGGTCCACATAGTCAAAGGCTTTTGTGTAATTAATGAAGCAGAAGTAGATCTTTTAGAAGTAGTAGTCAAAGATTAGTGGCAAATTGGGGTTAGAGATGTAGTACTTCTGAAAAGCAGAAAGGTGATGCCTTAACCAACCTTGCTTTATGGTAGGGAAGGGGAAATTTCTGTCTGCTGCATCCGGCCCATGGAAGTGTATACGCAAAATTGCTCCCTCTTTTTACCCTGTCCTCACCCTCAAGCCCTACCCCTTGGAAGGGAAAAGATTTCCTATTAGCAAATAAAGCTGATTTCAGATTGTGGTAAGCAGTGGCATCTCAATCACTCTCTGTTCCTTCGGGAATGTGATTATGGGGAATCTTATTTCTAATAAGTGATAGAAGGTCATAGATGGATGCCCTTCTCATGCCCAGTGGGACAGCAGGGACATGAGAAGAGACGGTGTAAAAAGTCATGGAGCTGCCTACCTTTTTGCAAGGAGAATGGGAAAACCACACTCCAAAGCAGGGTCAGATGAGAAGGCTTGCCAGGCTTTGGCAGAAGAGAAGCAGGCTGGCCCACAGGACCAAAACACTTTCTGCTGTAGTATAGGGATACCTGTCTTCCTCCTGTAAATCAGGACAGGTGAAGCTTTGTTCACTTCATGCCGGCTGGAGTCTAGAAACATCTCAAGTATTAAATGATCTGATCCAAAATCAGTAAACAAAGAAACAGAGACAAATCCTTGTTAAGAAACACATTGTGTTAACAAAAGAGGAGATAAGCAACTCCTTTATCCATACTGTATTACGATACTTCACTGGGAGAAAGGTGGCCTCAAAGCATAATAAATACTTTAATTCTAGCCTGGTTTGTAACCTGACAGATACCTGACTGGATCTTAGATCAGTGGCATCCTTCCGAAAAGGCAAGGTTTCCTGACTACTTTGCGAAAAGAGAAAAATGGAAGAAGCTGCGGATGGAAAGCTGGGAAAGAGAGGTTTGTACCATTTCATCTATGATAGACTAACCATGCTGAACTGCAGCAGTTTCCCATGGGGGAATGTGCTTACTGTGTTAGCAGGTGGCCAACTGTGGCAGACTTAAGGCTCAGCAGGTCTGTTACAGCACAAGTAACCGCCTAGAGTAAGCCTGGTTCCTTAGATAGGCGGGATATAA